TGAGTTTTCAAAGGAGAAATCAGCTGTAAATCTGGGACAATCTAAATTTTTAACCATGTCAGTCAGGTCCCAGTAAACTGACTCTAAGCTAACTTTTTAACTCCATCCTAGCCAAACAGGCTTATCAGAATCAGACTGGCAAAGGGGTTCTGTGTCTGGCTGTAAAAACTGAGACACAAAAATGATATTAAATGGTTTTTTAAAAATTCAAATCTTAAAAATATATATTAAAAAAAGAATACAGAACGAATATTCAGATCTCATTTGTTTAAGCTATGAAATTACTGGGTTTTTTTGCTTTGTGGCTGAGATGGTCCTACTTGATGTTAGCAGAGCTTTGATACCTATTCCACCCCTCTTGTCACTCACTATACAATTGTTTGGTAATTGAGAAAAATCTCCAAAGATGCTACATGCCATCTAACTTTCCTGATGAGTGGTAATGATGAGTTATTGACTTCTAAAATGTCATATAATTTGACATATAATTAACTGGTCTGCTCAGATGTTGCAAACGAACAACATCTCATATCCAGTTGTTTTCTCTTCCTACTGCCCCTCCTTCCTTGAAATATTGTCTTTTCTAGTATGTCCTGCTTAGGTTTTGCAAACTTACAACTGTGGTTTCCTTTGTTGTTGTTGTTGTTGTTGTTGTTGTTGTTGTTGTTGTTGTTGTTGTTGTTGTTGTTGTTGTTGTTACAGTATTTATTTGATTTATACCCCACCTATCTGGGCGACTCGTCCACTCTGACTCGTTAAGTCAGCCCATCTTATGTTAGGTCTTCCTACTGCCTCCCTCCCTTTCCCCAGCAATATTGTCTTTCCTGGTAAGTTTTGTATTCTCACTATATGTGCAGGGTAAAATAATCTCAGTTTACTCCAGTAAGACGTGATTTGATTGAGCACCCACTTATTTGCCTTTCTGGTGGTCTGTGGTATCTGTGAGGCTTACCTCCAACACCACATCACAAATGAGTTAATCCTCCCTCATTTGCTGCTCTTCACTGTCCATCTTTTACATAATATGGATGGTTTCAACCTTATTTTCAAATAACAACCTTTGTTAACTCCCAGTTCCCCATTTTTAAATTATTATTTCAAAAGATAATTGTTAACCGTTGGTAGGCGAAGAGGCTGCTTCTTTGTAGCTCTTTTGCCCCAATGGTTAGAGTGAGTGCGATCGGAAGAAGCTTCGGACTTCCTGGTAAGGTAAGGTGCTGCGTTCTGATTTTAAAAAACTTCTCTGGGTGGGTTTTGCAGCGTGGTTTTGGGCTAGGTGGTGGGATTATGTTTCTATGCTGTGATGGGTCTTGCAGGGTTTGTTTGCTTTTTGGGTTTTTTCCCCCATTTCTGATGGGTCTTGAGAGGTTTATTTGTTTTTTGCTTTGCATTTTTGCATTTCCGATGGGTCTTGCAAGGTTTGCTTGCTTTCTGCTTTTCCTTTTTTTGCATTTCCAATGGGTCTTGCATGGTTTGTTTGCTTTCTGCTTTTCCTTTTTTTGCATTTCCAATGGGTCTTGCATGGTTTGTTTGCTTTCTGCTTTGCTTTTTTTGCATTTCCAAAGGGTCTTGCATGGTGTGTTTCCTTTTTGCTTTGCTGTTTTTTTGCATTTCCGAAGGGTCTTGAACAGTTTGTTCACTTTTCTTTTCTTTTTTTTCCCTTTGGCAAGAATGGATTAATCGTGTTTCTGATGGGTCTTGCAGTGTGTTTTTTTGGGGTGGTGGTGATTATTTTTCCTTCGGCCAGAACTGATTAATTGCATTTCAGTGCATTCCTATGGGAAACGGTGCTTCGACTTACAACCATTTCGAGTTACGACCAGAATTCCGGAACCAATTAAGTTCGTAAGTCGAGGCAGCACTGTAGTAATTCAGTTCAAAACAACGTAAACACTCCCGCTGATATATACACCATGTGACCACTAGGAAAAAATGTATCAGAACAAGAGGGAGATGAAAAGAATCTGTATAACTGGGGTTCTTTTCTCACTTTTGATTGAGCCCTAATATACCTGTTTGGGGCAAAGGAGACTGTGATTGGTAGAGCATGAAAGAAACAACCCCAAAATACTTGGAGGGGCATTTGGAAGTGCTTGGTCTTGCAGTTTAATGCCTTCCCTAGTGGCACTAAGGAATGGTGTCTAGTATTGTAGGTCTTAAAAGATGCCTGCAACCACTGGAGAAGTGTGTGATCAGTTAGTGTGAAAAATAGTGGAAAGATTAGTACGTCTGTGAACCAGAATGAAACCACAAAAAGGGGGTGGTTGGATGCTGAACTCCAGGAAAACCAAAAATTACTATACTCTGCTCCCACAGATTTTAATGGGATTTGCAACCATGATCGTGTGTTTTCCCATAAGCCTGATTTCTTTCTTAACAGTGGAAATGTTAAAGTCCGTGTTTCCATGACAAAGGAGATTTATACCAGAATTATTATGAATTATTTGGTATAATCCCAGTCTGAATGTTTGAGCTGCTTCCACTCTTATGTATAGATGAAGACAAATGAAATGGTTAACATCTAGCTTTTACTGTCATCTTCAGGACCAAAAGTTTAAAGCCTGAAACACGCCACAGTGCTACTTTTCGTGGAGGTAAAAGCGACACCTGGTGGCCAAAGGCAAACGCTCAATGAATCTTAAGAAAATGCATTTTTTTGGTCCTACAAATACTCACCAGAAATAACATGTTCTTTCCCCCACATCCAGTGCGGATTACAGAAGATATGTAGGAGCTGGTTCCTCAAATATGTGGCAAATTTGTCAAAGCTCTCCTAAATTCTTTCTTCAACCCGGAGTGCTGTCTGGAAGGACAGATCCTGAAGCTGAGGCTTCAATACTTTGGCCATCTCATGGGAAGAGAAGGCTCCCTGGAAAAGACCCTGCTGTTGGGATAATGTGAATGGCAAGAGGAGAAGGGGACGACAGAGGACGAGATGGATGGACAGTGTCACTGAAGCTACCAACATGAATCTGACCAAACTCCAGAAGGCAGTGGAAGACAGGAGGGCCTGGTGTGTTCTGGTCCATGGGGTCACAAAGAGTTGGACACGACTTAACGACTAAACAGCAACACATTCTTTCTGAATTAATACTGTACGAATTACGAGTGAACAACCCAAGGCATCTGATGAAGTGAACCACAATCCATGGAAAAAATGGACCAAACGGAATTTCTCAGTCTATAAAGTGTAACGGAACTTTTTGTTGGCTTCGCCTCTCTCGGAATTCCCGCTACAAATGAGCCTGCTAGCTCCTTCTTTGTAATAGCATGCATAAGACTCAGAAATGTTTAAATCAGTTTCCATGGCCTCAAAGAATAAATTGTACAAATTAAGCACAGTTTTTTTACTTGGGCAGCAGACTGTGTAAGTAAAATTCCATGGGGTGATGCAGAGTTGTATGACTTGTGAGTTTGCTTTTTTCTATACCCACCGAAACTGCCCTGGAAGTTGTCTTTTTTTTAAAGTTTTTATCTTAATTTTTACTCCGTAATTTTCATGTGAAGAAAACTGGTGAGATGCCACAGAGCTCTTTCTTCCCCCTGGCATGATTTTGCAACACACAGAAAAGATGTCTCTGATCCTTTCCAAGAGGCAGGGAGGGAAAAGGAGAGATTTATTCCAACTCTCCAAAGGCAGGAAAGCTCTACGGCCATGACTCCTATCCGATGGGGCTCCAGATTTTCCAGGACTACATATCCCCCAACCTCACCACCACCATTTTTTCATGCCAGCTGGGAGTTTAGGGTCTTGAAGCCCAGCTACCTCTGGGGACCCAAGGTGAGGAACCACAGCTCAGTAGCAATAAGCAGCAGTGGCAGGAGCAACGAGAACACACAACTCCTAAGGTGCCTTGGTCTAGGCTAGGGAAACAAAGGCCTGCTGTGTACACATAGCAGAACACAGTGCCAGAGAGCTGACAACCCTGATGGGCTGTGCTGTTTCTGAGTGCAGGTGGGAAGGTTCTATTTTAAAATATGACCCACCTGGAGGGAACGGGACAACTTTGATTTTTTTTAAGGTCAGAAAGGAGTTGGATGAGCAGTAATAAACCTTTCCTCCCATATATGTGCTTCTTCAGTTTGTTGGGTAGTTGATTTCACATGGAAACATTTGAAAAATAACATTTCCTCCTTTCAGTCCAAAGTGGTGCAGTCCAGTGGACCCCTTTTGTTTTCTTACACCAGCTGGGAGAAAGATGATGGGAGAGAAAGGCCCATGTTGGCCAAAAAGGATGAAGTAAGTTGTGCTCAGCAACAAGGATGGATGTGGTGTGGAAAACTCCCCATAGAGACATTAATAATCTGAAGGCAAGGGAAGGGGCATGGAGATAGTGTGGCCCGCTTTACAGAGGAAGTCCTCTGTTTGAAGTGTTCCTCAGTCAGTTGAGTTCCAGTTAAAAGACAAAACAAGTGAACGTTTGTCTTGTCAGGCTACTTTTGTTATTTAGTCATTAAGTCGTATCTGACTCCTCGTGACCCCATGGACCAGAGCACATCAGGCCCTCCTGTCTTCCACTGCCTCCCGGAGTTTTGTCAAATTCATGCTGGTCGCTTTGATGATGCTGTCCAACCATATCAGACTCTGTCGTCCCCCTTCTCCTCTTGCCTTCACTCTTTCCCAACACCAGGGTCTTTTCCAGGGAGTCTTCTCTTCTCATGAGATGGCCAAAGTATTGAAGCCTCAGCTTCAGGATCTGTCCTTCCAAAGAGCACTCGGGATTGATTTCCTTCAGAATGGAGTTAGGTTGCTACCATATCATAATATATTTCACTTAATGATTATTTGGTGGAGTTTGCATGTTGTTGTTCTTATGCTACTCTAATGGTTTGTGAGCCTCCTCGAGTGCAACTCAGTAGTGGAAATGTAATAAATAATAGTAAGTAATAATAATGTAGTTATACTTGCAAGTTTTGCTGTTGGACCATTTGACTATTTGTTAGGAGCACCGGTATTTTGCTTATTGTAAGCAATAACTACAACATACACTTTTAAAACATTTTCTTCCCCTTGCTTATGATTTAATCATGAAGATGTTCAGAGGAAGAGCCTTTGAACTTCATCCCTCCATTCTAACCATCGCTTTGTCTTTTTTCATCAATGACTTCATTAAGGGGGGAGGTCCAGATCCCCTGAGACCATTGTCCCTTGCTAATTCTTGAGAGCAAGGTTTGGTTTCACAGTCAGCATGTAGTATGTCCCAGGCAAAATATGGAAGCCCTGTTTCTTTAATGTTTGCAAGGAGGGTTGGTTCTCTGCCAGAACCCCAGCATACAACGGAAAGCCAAGGGAGTGGAGCTTTCCACCTAGCCTCTGCAGGACAATTCCCGAACAGCCCTGTCCCCGGTACTGACGAAGGGTATAGCCATGTGATAAGCAGCTGACGGGATCAGTGAGGGACCAGGAGACAACCTGGTCTTCCTTGTCTACGAGGCAAGCACTAGGGAAGAGACGGATCAAGCTCTCCAGATACCGCCGGCTTCGATGATTGCCCCCAAAGTCCCATACTTCATTGAGAAAACTTGCATGAGATGGGTTGAGGGCCCCAAAACGGAGGAGGTCATTTGTGAGCCTGAAATACAAGAGGATTGGGAAGAGAGGAGAGAACATGAAGTTCTAGAAAATCTTCTGACTCTCACTCTCTCACCATGTCTTTCTGTCTCACACACAAACTTGACTGATACATGTAGTGATTTTGAGTTGTACTTAACAGGAATAAAACAACAGAGCCCTTTAAAAGAACGGTCTGAGTTCAGATGACATGCAGCGCTCCCAGTTTCTGTTCCTGAAAGTGGTACAAAATGAAGGTGGTATAAATAAACCAGTTAACAGCTGTGTGGGGTGAGGACTCTCAATATACGATCTCACTTGAATGCAAAGGGAAATAGCGAAACACAGTGTAGAACAGGGCTGCAGAAAGTGCAGCCTTCCAGCATCCTTGGCTACTGGCTATGTTGGCTGGGGCTGATGGGAGCTGCAGTCCAACAACATATGGATGGCCAAACTTTTCCCACCCTAGTCTAAAGGATTTGAGAGAAAGTTTTTAACCCTACAGTTCCCTATGTTATAGGTGGGACAGTCAGAAAAAAACCCCACAAGACTGCAAGAATGCCCTGTGGAGCAATCTGTAAGTCGATACAGGCAGAGCTTTAGAAAGGTTGATTCCAAATGGGTGATTCCTAGTATCACCCCTTTCCACTGTAAACTACAAGTGAAATTTCAATAGCAAGTGCTTTCAGGCTGGGTATGTCTGATACTCACAGTCAAAGGCATTGGAGAGTTATTAAATCTTTCTTCCTCAACCAATTTACGACACACACACACACACACACCCGTATCCATGGGGGATCAGTTCTGGCCCCTACTCTCATGGATGTTGAAAAAAATGCAGGTCATAGTGAACTCTCTACACAGCATGGTCTCTGGCCAGTTCTGGGAACTTCATCTTTAGAAATATATATTTCTAGGATTTTTCTTTTAATATTTTCAGACTGGGGATAAATGAATCAGCAGATACTGATTCTGTGGATAAGGGAGTCCTACTGTATTTTCCAGGAAGGAAAAAGAAAGAGGGAATACAGGGAAAACATAAGAGGGCTGCAAATCAAACACAATGACCTCTGAGGCTCCTGTAAACATCCACGATCAAGGTAGTGTCCTTGCACAATAGACACAACACTGGGAAGTACCTTGACTTTTAGCACTATACGAATATTTCTGTCCACACCTGTGGGTGTGCCACAGCTGTCATGAATGGGACTAAAGCTTGTCACACATCCATTGTAACTCTTATAACCTCATTTTTGTCAATGTTTTCATTATTTCTCAGCAAACAGAGAAAATATAGATTGAGAAATCTTCCATGCTGCTTGAGGAGCAGTGGTACAAAGTGGAAAATACAAGCTTTTCCAGTGGCTAGGCAGAGAAGCAGTAGAGTTTCCCTGCCTGCTCCCCCCTCCCAGTTCACAAACTGCTGTCTGCTAGACCTGAAGGGCATCTATGGCATCTACAGTCTATACCCAACTGAAAGATTGAAATGGTATTGCAGACTGAAAGAGAGACTGTTCCAGTCAGAGGTGCTGACTGAGTTGTGAGGATTCATGTCTTCTCTTGTGGGTTCTATTGTTAGATAGTCCAACAATAATGATCCAACTATTGTGCAAGGGGTTGGAATTTAGCTATGGCAGTGATCCCCAACCTTGGGCCTCCAGATGTTCTTGGACTACACCTCCCAGAAACCTTCACTATCACCTCTGCTGGCCAGGATTTCTGGGAGTTGAAGTCCAAGAACATCTGGAGGCCCAAGGGACCACTGAGCTATGGGATAGTTAGATGTTCTTTTGTGCAATCAAAGAGTTCTATAGAATCCACATCCCACTGAGCAGGTAACGGGGAGCATGTATAAAGGCCCAGAGACCTTTGAGTAGTGTGGGCAGCATAGATATGAATGAATGAATGAATGAATGAATGAATGAATGAATGAATGAATGAATGAATGAATGAATGAATGAATGAATAGGAGGATGAAAGGGAACACCCACTGACCGACTCTGACGGAGAGTAGATGGATCTGGATGCATCACTGGCCGATAAAAATATGGCTCCAGCTGGACATGGCTGGCCTCTGCAATTTCTTTGACAATTTCATATAGGCCATCTTGCAGTCCTGTATGAACATAATAGGTGACTCAGCTGCAGCTGCAACTAAGAATTCTCACTTCTGAAACACTGGGTTTGTATCACCATTCAAAGTATAATTTTTAGGAATAATACTAAAGCTAGATATGGGAACAATCTGAACAGGGCAGTGTGGTCTGTGGACTGCAAGCACAGTTTACCTTCTTAGATGTATCTTGGAGGATACAGAAAAGAAAAAATATATCTCTGAGGAAAAAAGAAGCCAAGAGGTCATGTCTCCGCAGGGGTCTAGCCAATAAACTGGACCTTCCCTGGACCAAGCTGGTCCTCAACCTACAGCACTTGAGCCAGGAAGAGGCCAGATGCTCATTGCTTTCATTAGGTGAGGAGGGGCAGCCCTGAAATACAGCTGAATTCACGCTGAGGCAGATGAGTGCTTATTTGGGCTGGAAACTTGGTGGTGGGCTCCATTTTATTGAACAAACTGCATTTCTCTTGGGGCAATCTGGCCAAAGTATCATTTGGTCACTCCTCAGTGCTTGCAGGGACTCACCTTGGATCTGGAGGGCCGCACTCCAGTCAACTACATCATTATTTTCCAGGAGTGCTCGGCAGGAATCCGCATCACGGTAGAAAGCAGCATAGAAATTGGCGTAGTAATCCCACTTGTCTTTCACTACCTGTAGGGCAGGGCGTCAAGCGGCATCATGAAATTTGGAGCACTGCTGAAGGCATCTCTATTAATGCCTCTGGGACAGGAAATAGGCGACTAGTGCATTCTGGTGCCAGAAAGGATAAAGAACCCAAAAGACAATGGGTGAGGTGCAAAATAGACTCAGGAGGAGGACATGAACCACCTCTATAGCCAACAGTTGTGACAGAGGGAAGGTTTAGATCCCTCTTGGAAACTTGGGGGCATAAAAGAGGACAAGGGACGCTCGGCATTTGTTATTCCGCACCATCAAGTCACTTCCAACTTATGGTGACCTGAAAGGGATGTTGAGATACATGAGATGCTCGTTTGCAATTATCAGCTCCTGGAGATTTTCCATGGCCAAGAGAATCCAAAGAGCCAAGTGCCAGCCTTGGAGGAAATTGCTGGTAAGTGCACAGTCATGTCCAGTGGACAGATCTTGGGTCTGGTTAAAAAGAGACATTCATTCATTCATTCATTCATTCATTCATTCATTCATTCATTCATTCATTCATTCATTCATCAATCACACCATCTAGTGGTCTTGCCAGTACTCTGGGCGGTTTCTGTGGGTTGTTTCTAATCTCTTACAAAAGTCATCCCTAGATTGTTCTGCCTCAGGTTCTGCTGTTTTGAAGTTATCCCTCACAGATTGGGGCTGACTTTGTCCACCACTGCCACTCAGATTTCATATCTTACCTCCTTTTTTGGGCGGGTAATGATAGCTTTAAATTCTGGCCAAGAGTCCACCACCACTTCAGACTGAGCTGGGTTTCCACGGTTGATGTGCAGGATGGCTCCATATATCTGTCAATGAAACATAAAGTTAGAATGACTTAGAGCAGGGATGGGTAAACTCCAGGGATCAAAGAGCCATTGTTGTGGCCCTACAACCTTCCAGTCATGACCAAATGAAATGACTGTTAGGAGAAGAACTTTTTAATTCCTTTCTGGCCAAATAGACATTTAAAAGAGTTTCTGTTTCTGGCATTAAAATGTTTTTAAAATTATTTTTAAAAATGGAGAATAAATATTCAAACGCTTAATCATTTAAGCTCTGAAAATACTGTGCTTTGAGGATGGGGATGGTTTTACAGAGCTTTGGTGCCTATTCCATCCATCCTGTCACTATACTACTGTTTGGTAGTTAAGAAAATCACCCCAAAGATGCTAGGTGTTATGAAGTCACTTCTGATGTTTGGTGACTATACAAGTTACTGACTTGCAAAATCCCTTATCATTAACATCTGTGCTCAGATGTTGAAAACCAACAATATCTCATCTTAGGTTGTTCTCTTTTCCTACTGCCCCTCCTTTATAGTCTTTTCCAGTAAATTCTGCTCAGATCCTGCAAACTAGCAGTTGTGGCTTCCTCTGTTGAGTCGATCCATCTCACGTTACGGTTTCTCTTTTTTTCCTATTGCTCCACCCCACTTTCCCCAGCAATATCATCTATTATGTTCATTTCTGTATTTCCATTATAGGATGGGCTCAGGTTATTCATTTTTGCACCAGTGAGAGTTCAGGCTTAACTCGATTGACTTAGATAAGAAGTTTTTAACTGATGAAAAAAAGGGAGTCAGCTTCTCGGATTTTCCCTTGTGTGGTGTCTCTTTGTGAATGGTATTGAACAGAAGAGAGTGTCTTGTAGACTATCTTGACTGTTGCCGTCGATGTTGTCAACCCTCAGGATGCCCTTTGCTATGTAAAGCTTAGCATCCTTTTTTTTCCCTGCTGGCAACACAGGCACGATATTGTGCAACAATATCAGGCCATTTCCAACTTTTTGAATAGTGGGTACAGAAGCACAATATCTCACATTCATAAACTTTTTTTAAAAAAAAGAATTTAATTCCTTGCTGGTGCGAGCAGAAGGAAGGCAAAAAGAATACAGTTCATTCCCACACCAGTCTTTACTCTGGGCATCATTAATGATGTAGCTGGACCTGCCCAGCAATTGCCCAAAAGGACTAATAAAGGCAATCACACAAGTCAAATGTAACACAAAATAAAATTACTAGAAATACACACAAAAGCCATTAGCCCTGCCAAGCAAATACATTTAAAAACCCTGTCCCTGGCAGCCAGTTAGTAGCTAAAAGCCTGTCTATGCATGAAAGTTTGTAGGCATTTGAGCGACAGGAGGGAAGTCGCCAAACTAGCCTCAGTAGTCAGGGAGTTCCATAATCTGGGAGCAGCTGCTCAAAAGGCCCTACCTTGTGCCCTCACCAAGTGTACCTCTGAAGGTGACAAGAAGACGTAGTGAAGAGCCCTTATTTACTTATTTACTTATTTACTTATTTACTTATTTACTTATTTACTTATTTATTTATTTATTTATTTATTTATTTATTTATTTAACTTATATGCCGCCCACACTTCCCAAAGTTTGCACTGCCCCCTGTCATGTAAGGCTGTGAAGGTTATCACTAATCCTTGGAATTGTGCCTGCAACCCTAATGATAACCAGTGAAGCTGCTGTAGCAGGGTAGTTATATGTTCCCTATAACTTAGCATAGGACTTCTTGCGAGCTTTAGCATGGATTCACACAGTCTTATTCTAAGCCTGCATCTACGTTGACAAAAATGTGGTTAATGCTATGGGAATGGGATGGTCTGATTTGCATATATTTAGTTGGCCACAAGACATAAAAGCAAATGCAAATTAGCCTGGAGGCCCCCATCATCTGTAGTTTCCCCCCTGCCACTGGGGATTTCTACTTTTTTCTCTCTACAGCAGATCCATTCACATCAGTTCAGATGGTGTGTTCTTTTCGTTTGAACTTACACAAAAAAATATGTGCTATGGTTGGCAAGATAATGTGGCGGGTGGTGGGAGGATGAGTGGGGATCCAGTCTGTGTTGTGTTACAGTTGCAGTGGTTAGTCTGTCTAAAGTCATTATAAAGTCATGTAAAAATTTCTAGTAATATGCAGAGCTGTTAAGATTTCTCATCTATTTGGACAATGTAAGTGCTGAATGAAAACCCAAGACATGGGAGATACTCTCCAGCATCTTGTAATAATTTTCCAGCAAATACCATTTTGTAGGTTTCTATTTTGCAAATAATGCCACTTCTTTTTAAAAATAGCTTTGTGCTAGCACTGCTGCACTAGGGCATCTAGACACCAATAAGAGTAAGAGTAAGAATAAAAAACAAGAGGAGAAACAAGAAGAGGAAATTGCCACTTGGCCCTTGTTTCTTAAGCTTATTAAGGTAGTTATCCTGTAATTGCACCTCCTGCATGGCTACAGGAGAGCTAAGTTAGCAAGCTGCAAACAAGGCTGTTTAGCCAATTGGCGTCTCCCTGTGTGGCCAGTTAATCTGCACAGATGTGGGGAAACCCAAATTCCCAAGGAGGATTTCACAGCAGATAAATGTGCATTTCTCTTGCTGTGTAGTTGCATCTGAGGTTTTCTATCATCAGCACGCTGGTTGCTGTCCTACTTATTTCATCACTGCGGAGTCCCTGGTAAACCAAGGGGCTAGTATAGGTACACTCTATGGGAGGGAACACCCAGGAACAATCCTGCTTGCCACACAGAACAATCCTGCTTGCCACACAGGACATTTCTCCATCTCAGAGATCAGTTCCTCTACAGAATTGCCTGTGCAACAGCAAGCAATTGTGCTGTCACACATAATCATAGCAGAGCTTGGAAATATTAGTTTTTTGAGGCTATAATTCCCAGAATGCCCTAGGCAGCATTGCTGGTCCTTTTCCTGGCTCAGAGTCATGGGTAAATAGTATTATGTTTTATTACTAAATAAAGTTATAACACTGGTAATTTATTATAAACTGCTGTTGATCATACAGAGCAGAATGAACATGATAAACTAGTTCTACAAAACATATAAAATTGCTTTGTTGGAAAAGGCACGTTTTTCTGAACTCTTTTCCTGAAACATACTTTTAAAATGAAGGCAGCTTTCATTCTGCTTTTGCAAAATTAAAGAAAAAGGGAAAGGGGGGGGGAAGGGAGGTGGGGTGGTGAAGTCTTTGCCAATAATAACATTCCTAGTTCCTGATGAAATATGAATAATCCCTAAAAATATGAATACGTTGACTCTAAATGCCTGGATGTAGACCTAGATTTTGCAAGACACGCACACCAGGACCCGTTGTCCAAAGAGAGGAGGCACCTTGCTGAAACACACAAAGGAGATGATGGCGCCATTTGTTCTTTTTCTGTGTTTTCCTTTGGGGATAGGTGCATGTCTGTCTGTCTGTCTGTCTGTCTGTCTGTCTGTCTGTCTGTCTGTCTGTCTGTCTGTCTGTCTGTCTGTCTATCTATCTATCTATCTATCTATCTATCTATCTATCTATCTATCTGTTGCAAATATTACCCCACCTTTCTCCCCGAAAAGGCAGTTTACAACACTGAAAGTGAATATTTAAAGTTTAAAACAATGAGTAGACAGCAATGGTTAACATCATTAAAAGACAATAGTGACAGCTAAGGACAAGGAGTATAAAGAGGTATCTTACATCATTAAAAGGCATTAAAGCTAAGAACAAGAAGTATAGAAATACTGAAAAGGGGGGGGGGAGTCACTCTGAGAAATGGAAAGCCAAAAAATGAAAAACACAAAAACAATCCCTCTAAAAACCACACAGAGGTAGCTAGTTACTGTGGGAAGGTTTGCCTGAAGGGAAAGGTCTTTGCCTGCTTTCGGAAGGACAGCAAAGATGGGGCCAGTCTGGCCTCCTGTGGGAGGGAGTTCCAAAGCCTGGGAGCAGCAACAGAGAAGGCTCTCTCCTGTGTCCACATCAGATGCACCAGTGAAGGTGGTGAGATCAAGAGAAAGGCCTCTCCTGATTATCTTAACACCGAAGCAGCTCATAATGGGAGAGACGGCCGTTGAGATAGCTTGGACCCAGGCCATTTAGGGTTTAATACATCAAAACTTTGAATTGTGCCTGGAAACAGATCAGGAGCCAGTGGAGCTGGGTTGTGTCATCCCTGTAATCGGCCCCAGTCAGCAATCTGGCTGCTGCATTTTGGACCCGCTGAAGTTTCCTGACACTTTCCATTAGCTTTCCAAATAGAGTGTGTTACAGTAATCCGGCCAGTAATCTGGTCAGATCAGATCTCTCAAGAGACAGATGTGGCTGGTGCAGTCGTTTTAATTGTGCAAATGCTCTCCTGGCCACCACCGAGACCTGGCCATTCAGGCCCAGGGATGAATTCAGGATCACCCACAAACTGTGCACTTGTTTTTAAAGTGGGAGTGTAATCCCATCTAGTACAGGCTGCATCCCTATTCCTTGTTCTACCTTTCGACTGACTAGAAGCAGCTCTGTCTTGTTTGGGTTAAGTACTGTATAACAGATGTACTCAGTTCTCCGATTAACTGCCTGGATCTTAACTATCCTCAGCTGACTGATTCATTGCTACACTGGGTGAATCTCAGGGATTTGCAGCACAAGAGGGTGTTGAAGTTGGGGTTTGGATTTTGTGGTGTGGGAGGGAGTAGAAGGTGAAGGTTTCCAATCTCCTTTTGCCCCGTTCTCTGGTCCCCTGTTTACATTATTTCTGGGGCTGGCATCTTTTTCTAGGTGGGTACCTTTGACTTTTAACTACAGAGGGAAGATGAAAACCCGCAACTTCCCTCTAATGAAAGAGAGCAATATCAAAAGGGGACATTTGTTAAATTTACAGACAAAGGCAGCAAGCTCAAGCGATGAGGGAGATGCCCAAGTCTTACCGGAAGCGTCTCAGGCAGGCATCTTCGCAGCACACCCTCTAACAGCTGCAGCTTCGAGGGGCAGGTGAGGATCAGCATGGCTGGCCTAACAGGGGCTGCGAAGCAGGTAAGCACCAGCAAAGGTGATGGAGTTGAGGAAGGACCTGAAAACGGACATGAGAGACAGAGAAACAGAAATGTAGCAGCATTTCTAACCCACTCTCTCCTCCCAACCTACAAAAAACTGGAGTGATTTGATAGCTGGACTAAAATTGTTGATAACACATGAGGCTTGGCAACCAAAAGCAAGTCCATGATTTTGCTAGGTCCACCGTCCCTAAGAGTCTTCACACTTTCTGTCCATCAGAAACACAGAACGGATCCATTTGAGTGCTCCGCATTGGCTCCAGTCCATCTGGATAACCCACTTCCTCTGAATAATTGCAGCAGTTGTATCTGGATTTCTGGAATGGTACAGAAAAACGGTTTCACCATATTTTGGATGGGAATCAGACTGTAGCTCTGTGACCATTGCTTACTGACCTGAAGAGAAAAGAGGAATTGTGTTACGGGGCTGCAGGCACATCTTATGTCAGCCTTGCTGAGGCTCCTTAAGGAATGCCATCCGGAAAAGCAATATTTTATTTCTGACAGAATGAACCATTAATAGAATCATGCCTTTTGTCCCCGAAGTCTCCATGGAAAGAAAGACTGGTTAAAATGCAGAATGCAGAAACAGCTCTTTTGGCCAACAAACTCCAAAGTCCTTATTAGATGACTTACAAAGAAAAAGGCAGGGGCGGGGGGAGAGCGAGGGTGTGATCAGACAGAGATATAGCTTGCATTTTGTACAATTTGTGGCACGGTCCAGTGCAAGCTATTCTCCAGTGATCAGACAAACCACACTGAACCAAACCAACCCTGCTCCATGCTCAAGTTGGATCTTTTAGATCCCGCAGCAGAGCTAGTTTTGCAGCTGGGCTGGGCAGATTCCTATATGTATGAACAGATTGTGTTAAGGAAGATTGCCCCCCCCCCCCCCCCGTTAAGCAGCCCTTTCTAACACAATCAGATGCAATCCTTTATTGCCATCTGATTGCACCTTGATATAGGAAAAGGAATCCTTTTTTCACCTCTTTTTCCTCCTCTGCCTTTTATAAAACTGTGCTTGAGGAAGGGCAATGATCCTGAAAGCTTGAGCTCCAAAATATGTGCCTTTAAAAAAAAAAAGCTGGTCTAACAATCAACAAAATAGAGAATTTGAATTTTGGCTGAATGTTGTTTTTTTCATATTGATGTGACCTGTCTGCAAGTCCAGAGGACATTAGAAGCCAGTAGATAATTAATTCATTGCATTCTCAGGGATTTTTCCAAAGGTAGAGGCAAAGATGCACATTGTGATGTGACTCTAACACCCATGAGTTGCCCAGTGCGTGCAAAAATCCTGACAATTTGACCATATGGAGACAGAAGAGTGTTATTGCAAGTGGTGCATGGGATAGCATGAACTCTGAATTTTAGTTGCTATGAGAGGTAGTAAAATAACTAATAATCATCAGGAAGGAGGAAGGGCTGGGGTCAAAAACAGAGATGGGGGGGAGAGAGAGAACAACACTCCTAAGGATTCCATAATGGACATTTCAGGGCATCACCTCATCATTTGTCCTAGCATGATTTCCTACATCCTGGAAACACCAAAACACTGAAGATGGGAACTAAGCTATTATTTCAGCCTTGAGGCTGCTTCCAAACCCAATAATAACAAGGGAACTTCTAAATGCTCTCAGTCAGATAGCTACTGATGCCATTGGCACCCACTTGCCCAAGAATGTCATTGGCTGAGTAGGCAATTGACCCGTGAATTTCCTATGAGTTTCTCTTCCATAAAAGAAGTAGGTAAAGGTGTATGTAGGTTTGGAGCTATTATTTCAGCCTTGAGGCTGCTTCCAAACCCAATAATAACAAGGGAACTTCTAAATGCTCTCAGTCAGATAGCTACTGATGCCATTGGCACCCACTTGCCCAAGAATGTCATTGGCTGAGTAGGCAATTGACCCGTGAATTTCCTATGAGTTTCTCTTCCATAAAAGAAGTAGGTAAAGGTGTATGTAGGTTTGGGATGGTTTCTTTTTGTTTTGTTTTGCTTCTTAGTTTTGCCTGTGAGAAGTGACTGTCTATAGACCCATTTCCTTTTGTAGAAGGTACATACATGTTCTCTTTCTTCCTCAGTTCCCCAATATTGCTGGCATTTCTGGCTGGCATTCCCACTGTTCAGGGTTCAATCCATACGCCTATTACAATGCAACCAATTCCTAATACCTAGGTGTTGCTGGCTGTTGTTGCAGTCTTTTTGTTTGACACAATCACTAGGAAGGTGGGGGGGAGGAAAGATGGAGGAGGAAAAGATAGAGACTGCTCCTTTGCCAGGCTCATTAATGAACTAACATGAGAGAGAGAGAGAGAGAGAGAGAGAGAGAGAGAGAGATTGTGTGTGAGAGAAATCCACTGCTGCAGGCTGCCAAGATTGAAAGGGAATATTGCCTGGAAATGCAATACTAGTGGGCTTAGGATCTGTGGCTGTGGCAAAGCCTGTCCTGGACTGCTAATGCCTACACAGGCACAGTGACCTGGTTTAAGTTTGTTAATGGAAAGCCAGCACTATGGATTAAGCCCAGCTTTGGATACTCGTACAGAAAGGCAAGATGGAGGTACTTGTTTGGGGTTGAATTTTAAAACTCCTCTTTGGGATATGTGGAGTTAGTGAAGCCTCTACAAACTTGTTCCTTGTTGTTCTCTAGAATTTCTGACTATCTGGCAGTGGCTTAGTTACTAGTACATTAGAAGGATCCATAAGCAAGGCCTTTCCACACTTGTTTTTCAAAGTCATATGCAGCTTCTAAATGGGGAACTTCCATTTAGGAGCACCTCCTGTAATTCTTCCTTGCAACCTGGCACTCAACCCAGCGCAGATGTAAATTTTAATTCTTGATGCTTATCCTGTTGAATATTCTCAGGGAAATGCCACTTGTTGGATGGAGTTCTATGATCATTCAGTTGGACCACTAACTTAATATTTCTAACAATGGCTGCCTATGGGTTTAGGACCAAAACATTTCCCCAGTTTAGATGGAAATGTGAAATAATGTTGGATTATCAACATATTGGTTGCACCAAAATTGAAATAGCTGGAGAATGTCTCCCAGTAGTTTCTTATAAATGTTAAATAGCATATGGAATGAAAAAGAACCTAAGGGACCCCACAGGACAATGGCCATGTGTTCAAACAACACCATCTTCTGAATTCACCACCCCCACCCAAGGAAGGACCACAGCCATTGTCAAAAACAATGCTTCCAAGTCCCATCCCAGAGAGTTGGCCTAGTAGGATACCATGGTCAATGATACTGAAAGCTGTCCAAAGGTCCAGAAGAACAGGGACATAGTCCTCCATCTGGTGCCTTGCAGAGACTGCCCACCAAGGCATCCAAACGGCTCCATAGGCATACCTGAAGCCAGACTGAAATGGATCTAGATAATCTCTTACATCCAGGAATCCTTGAAGTGTAGAAGCCACCAGACATGTCAGTATTTCCCTCAAGAATAGAACATGAAAGATTGGCCAGCAGTAATCCACTATGGTGGGATTCATGGAGGCCCTTTTCAATAATGGTCTTAGAACTGTGCTTTGAAGGCACATCGGAATCCTGCCTTTTTGAAGACAGGCATCCACCACTTCTTTACTCACTGTGCCCATAACAACTTTTAGGAACCAGGAAAGGCAATGGCCCAGCATACAGTATTTGGAAAATTGGTTAAAAGTTTTCCCCCCTAGGAACTTCATGTATCACTGATCTGCTGCTTGAAGGGGCCTTCCATACAGAAAGAGTTGTGCCAAAACAAACCTCTCCTTTTTTTTGTATTTTTCTTTTTCATACCATTCAACACTGATGAATGTGAGTAAGGAAGACTAACAACATCAGAAGAAGCTGCACTGAAGCAATTGCTTCTCTTGTCATAGAGTGAAGGAACCTCACACCATGAAACTTCATCATGACCTCTACTCCCATCCACAAAGTTAATGACTTACCTGGTATGATAGTATTTATTTACAGTCTCTAACTTACCGTATAAATGATCTGCAGAAATGTTAATATTGCTGGTCATTGTCAATGACTGCTTTACTTTTATGAAAAAATGCACAGGCAAAGCTATGTGGTCCTTACACAATACAACAGCATGGGCAGGCAATACTTTATCAGACCACAAAACAAAAATGCTAGCTTTCAACTGATACTAGTCTTTATCAGGCTGTGCACCAAGATATTATGGACAGTGCAGGAAAAAAATATTGGCATTCCAACAGTCATGGCAGATGTCTGTGTCAGCTCGGTTTCTTAAAAGTGAGTTCCAAAATCCAGGCTGCAAACAGAAGTCAGGAGTGTTCATTTTCAGTTTTCTTCAGCTGGCAGTCTTGCTTGGCTGGTATTAAGAGTGCATGTTATCTTCTAGATGGTGCTCTGGGTGTCTATTCAGGGTATCCTCCATAGTCCAGAAAAAACGACAACATGCAAACAAAGCTGTGTGGTCCTTACACAATGCAATAGCAAGGTGATAAGTTTATTAGACCACGTGTTTTCAGCCACCATTTTGGAACTCACTTTTAAGAAACAGACCTGGCACGTCATTGTCTAGTCGTTTAGTCGTGTCCGACTCTTTGTGACCCCATGGACCAGAGCATGCCAGGCCCTCCTATCTTCCACTGCCTCCCGGAGTTCTGTCAATTTCATGTTGGTTGCTTCGCAGACACTGTCCAGCCATCTATCTCATCCTCTGTTGTCCCCTTCTCCTCTTGCCGTCACACTTTCCCAACATTAAGGTCTTTTCCAGGGAGTCCTCTCTTCTCATGAGATGGCCAAAGTATTGGAGCCTCAGCTTCAGGATCTGTCCTTCCAGTGAACACTCAGGGTTGATTTCCTTTAGAATTGATAGGTTTGTTCTCCTTGCAGTCCAGGGGACTCTCAAGAGCCTCCTTCAACACCACAATTCAAAAGCATCAATTCTTCGGCGGTCTGCTTTCTTTATGGTCCAGCTCTCACTTCCATACATCACTACAGGAAAAACCATAGCTTTGACTATTCGGACTTTTGTCGGCAAGGTGATGTCTCTGCTTTTTAAGATGCTATCAAGGTTTATCATCGCTTTCCTCCCCAGAAGCAGGCGTCTTTTAATTTTGGGACTGCTATCTCCATCTGCAGTGATCATGGAGCCCAAGAAAGTAAAATCTGTCAGTGCTTCCATATCTTCCCCTTCTATTTGCCAGGAGGTGATGGGATCAGTGGCCATTATCTTAGGTTTTTTGATGTTGAGTTTTAGACCATTTTTTGCACTCTCCTCTTTCACCCTCCTTACAAGGTTCTTTAATTCCTCCTCACTTTCTGCCATCAGAGTGGTATCATCTGCATATCTGAGATTGTTGATATTTCTTCCAGCAATCTTAATTCCGGCTTGGGATTCCTCCAGTCCAACCTTCCGCATGATGTATTTTGCGTATAAATTAAATAAGCCAGGGGACAATATACAGCCTTGTCGTACTCCTTTCCCAATTTTGAGCCAATCAGTTGTTCCATATCTAGTTCTAACTGTTGCTTCCTGTCCCACATATAGGTTTCTCAGGAGATAGACAAGGTGGTCAGGGACTCCCATTTCTTTAAGAACTTGCCTTAGTTTGCATAGAGGTCCACACAGTCAAAGGCTTTTGCATAGTCACTTTT